GATTTATGGTTTGTCGGTGGTCTTTTAATAGATTGATCTCGTTTTATGGTTTGTTTGCCGATGCGGTCAGATTTGTTTGTATCTACATTTTATTTTAATTTATTTGGTTAGATTTTTAACATTTTCCTTAAATATTCTTATTATATGTTTTAATTTACAATTGTGATTGTAAATTTTCATTATAATATAGATATTTTTCTAATTTTAATAAAACTAACTACTCTGTATAAAAAACAATCACTTTATAATTGAATCAAACATGTTCTCTTCCGTCTAAGTTACAATTTATTTCTTCAGCCTAGGGTTGGAAGAAATATTTTGTAAATTTTAATTAAATTTATGTTTATAATTATATATAATGTAATTCAAATTTACGAAACAAATAATATTCTTGTATATTTTAATTTTAATTTTTTGTTATAATTATATAATAGGCTAATACAAAAACAAGTGTCCAATAGGGGCCTAAACTTCTTTTTCGATCAATCTAGGTGTTTAATATTTCAAACATTACACTTTTAGGTGTCTCTACCGTAACGGATATTAAATTTCACTGTTAAATGATACGTGTCATGCTAAGGTAATTTTGAAAATTTTATTTAAAAAACATTTAAAAAATTATTATACTACCCTCTAATTTCTCTTAAATTAAAAAGACCTCAAATCCCTAAAAATCCCTAAAATCAATCCTAAAATCTATTGTTGTCGCCATTGTCAGCCATGACTACCGCTGACTTCGCCACCCTTGGAATCTCCCTTGTTGGTCATCGTCGACCTTGCCGTTACGAGCGTCGTCAGGTTGTTTGGGTATCATGATTTTGCCGTTTAATGTTCGACTTTGTTGTTTTCTTCATTAGTTGTTCATCGTGTTTATGGGTTATGGGTCATCATATTCAATTGCTTGTCGAGTGGAGGTTGGGTCAACAGTAAAAACGACAAATGGTGGATGCGGGGGGTGGATATAGGGATTGGAATTAGGGTTTTCAAAATGTTAGGAGTTTTTATTTGAAAAACTTTTGGTTTTTTTTAAAATATATAATTTTAAGTTTTTTAATATATATATATATATATATATATATATATATATATAATTTTAAAATTTTATAGACGTGTCATTTAACGATAGAATTTAACGATCGTGACGGTCTAGACACCTAAAAATATAATGTTAAAAACATTAAATACTTAAATTAATCTAAAATTAATTTAAACACCTAAATAAAAACAAATTTATAGTTTGAAATCTTATTTTTATATTAAACCTCTATAATAGTGTAATTCAAATTTACAAAATCTAATAGTGTAATTCAAATTTACAAAATCTAACTTATATTGTACATATATGTAGGATGTGAACGAGCCAAATCAAATATTACTAAACTCGACTCAAAAACTTTAAAAATAAATTCAACGACTTAAAAATTATCATAATCATCTCGACTAAAAAACTCACAAGCTAAAAATTATCAAACTCAAATCAAATTCAAAATATAATATTAAAACTCAATTCGAACTCAAAAAATTTCAAAAACTCAATTGAAACTTGAGACTCAACTTGATTCAAGCTCGATTCAAGCTTAAATTGCCCCCAAGCGTAAATATGTTTTAAACCTGTGTACCCCCCTCTCCTTTTATAATAGACTCAAGGATTCTAGAGTTATTCACCTACCGATGTGGGATTTGGGCAGTTGAAACTGGTGATATCCACTACAAACGGGAATTGCTGCGGGGTTTTATAAAAATAAGGGGGCATGAACAAGTGAGTTATTTTCCCTCTTATTTTGTATCATTTATCTTATTCTACTCCCAAGTAGGAGTTGTGCTAGGAACATGAATCCGAATAAATCATTAAGGGGTTGTATTTTCTAAAAGAACTCAGTCACTACTTTTGATTCCTTTTACAATTTTTTTCATGTAAAATACGAAATAGCTCTATGAAGCAGAGATTACACTATTGCAGGCACATCCAGGTGTGGCAAGAAAGGAAAGTTCTCTGTAGATTGATAGACTGTCAAAAACTCTCACCAGAAGCATCCCTGCACGCTGCTCAAAACGAACGTTTGCCCGTTCGAGCAGTGAATCAAGTGATGTTCTCCGAGCAAACCAAGCTCAACCGGCACGTCGATTGGAGCGGATCCTTCAGCAGAATGAGGAGTCCGAACACAGCCGAAGTCGAACCCCCGGCTCGGTGCCCGCGAACGAGAGATCAACGCTCAACAGATGGAGATAAAGAAGCTGAAAGAAGAGGTGGTGAGGGAGCAGAGCCAGTGCGTGGCGATGCAAATGCAAATGGAGAAATTAATGGATAAGAAGAAATGGGTTTTCTGGTGGAGGAAGCTGGGGATAATGCCTTCGCTCAAGAGCAGTGTGAGTGTTTTCGAGAGGATTGAAGAAGACAGGGAGGCTAACTTCGGACTGCAAACGCCGACCGATGTCAAAGCAAAGCTTGTTCATCTGTTGTATCATGTTTTGAATTCATGTATGTATATGTTCATTTCCTATGTTTTCATGTTGCTGTATCATTCGAATTAAGGTAGGAAATAATGTAATAATAATATGATTTGTATCATAATAAATGCATTTGTATGATTCTTGATTCACGTGGCACGTTTACTATCATGCATAATTGATTTCAATGGTTTTATCATCTGCTTGCCATGCAAAAACTTGAACAAATACAATAGACGATAGAAAAACTATTGGATTGTGAGAAATTGCAATGACATCTTAATTATCAGCAAAACTTTTTGTGTTATCATTCTGATCTAAGTTAAGGTCACTTAATAATTTTGCTGCAGCAATAAATTCTGCAGCGAAATAAACCTCGATTTCTTGCTTCTTCTAGCTCCATAAAAAGAAATCGTATCCAAAAGTAGAACTGCATCCCAGTTTCAATAACCCGACGTAGCTTTAAGCAGTACCAAAATGACAACGCTTGAGGACTAGGGGTAGCCTGTGTTTTAGAAATGGAGTATTATCATTTTAGGACCTATTATATTTGTAATCTTCTGATTTCATCATTAATCAAGGTTTACGTTTTTATGATTCGGGGATTAATTTATTTTTATTTTATGTTTTGATTACCGTTTGTTTTGATAATAGACCTATTGATTTATTTGACCAAGTGTGAATGATTTGACCAATTGTGATTTATTAATTTATTTACACATAAATCATTGTTAATTTCATTTTGCATAATTTATATGTTATCTTCATGTGCATAACTTAACCCCTATTATATAATTGGATTAAGAGTTTAGGGTTTAAGTTTAGTGTTAAGGGTTTATAATTTAGGGTTTAAGGTTTAGGGTTTAATCTAATATGTGCTTAATTAAATGGGCTTTTTATTTTTCTTTTAGTAATATACAATGTAACAATTGGAATTTGGTTGCTTAATTAAAAAAATTAAAATTTGAGGTAGTTGTATTATAGAATTTTTAATATATTTTTAAAATTTTATAATTATCAATAATGCATTTTTAATAAATTTTTTATAATGTAATTTTAAAAAATTCTAAAATTATAATATAACATTTTTTCGAGCTGCTCACGAGCTTTTCGAGTCGAATATCAAATAGCTCGTTTAGGCTCGTTAAGAACTCGAGTCGAGTCCATTCGATCCGAGTATTTATCGAGCATTGATCGAATTAATCTCAAATAACTCACTATCTGTCTCATCTCATTTACAACGGTACATATATGCAAGAACTGATTTATTCCTTCCCCTGATGTGACGCCTATAATAAATTGGGTTTTCCCCACCTCTCAGAACACCATGACTTGCTTTGATTTGTTTTTTTCTCGGAAATTCTGGGGATTTTTGTGCCACTTGTTCATTCTCTTGCATTGTATTTTTCAAATAATTTCAATCTCTCTGCCTTGATTAATTATTTTTTGTTTTGTTGTTCTGATGATGAAGATAACCTGACTGCACCATTTTCCTTGTTGTTCCCTCTCCAGCTATCACTGAAAATAACAAGCTATAATTCAATTTATCATATTTTAAAATTTACATTTCAAATATATAGTTTATTTATTCTCTTATGTGTATGTTTCCCCCAACATAAAAATCAAAATATTATAGTGGAATCATATTATTTACAGTATGCTTTTTAATACTTTTTCTTAGATTCTTTTCAACTGGTCTTTACGTTGTATAAAGCTAAAGTTAAAGTGGAGAAAGAATATAAAAAGTTGGCAATATTCCAATGGAGATATGGTTGTAATTTGAAGTAGGGTTATCGTAAAGTGGGGATTTTGGTGGTGAAAGTAGCAAAGTCTTAGCCGTATCCTGCATGCATGCTTCAGCTTTGGCTCTAAAAATAGTAAAATTAGACGTACGTAACATGAATCTTCTCACCAAATCCATGCACACCAGCTTTTATTTCGCCTTTATTCCTTTCATCTCTCTCTTCTACAAGCTCAAACTTCAACGAGTATTACCTTTTTAAGATCTCATACGAAAATCATATAAATTTTAATTATATTTAAAATTACGTTTTTTCTAATTTTATTTTAACCATCCACAAGAGACTTCAAATGATCATGTTATTTTATACTACAAAGTTTATGCGTGGATTAGGAGTATCCCTGCCTATCTGTTTAATATACATAAGCAAAGACTAATCTGATGAGCTTGATAAAATCACAAAAATAACAAAATTCTCCTGTCAAGTATTTAATTATATTTCTAAAACTATGAACAATTGATTGTCAATAAAATAATTGCCTCAAGTTTTCTTACATATATATATTTGCTTATCTGTTTATATTCATTCTGAATGATAAATATAATGTAGTTTCTCTCTAGGTGGTTAGTGTTCAAACAGCTTTTATTGTAAATGTGTGTAAGTTTATATACATAAAAACTACTTTATAATTAATATGTATTCAAATAAGTTTAGTTTTTTTAACAATGTCGTTTCAAAAATAATAAAAATATAATTCTTTGAAATAAGAGACAAAATAATGTTTTCTTTTTGAACAATTTTATCCACGTGTATGGTCCACAAAGACCCCAGCGAGTAGCATCTCATCACGTGAATGACGCATGTGATCCTAAAAGGTGAGCCCTTCCCACGTTTCGATTTGACAACCTTAGAAAGTTGAAACGAGTACACCAAAGTCTCAAATCCGTCGCCGTTTCATGTACCAGCGCCACTAATATGCCTTTTTCGATCTCCGACACGACCCCTTCTGCTTCATCCTCGTACGCCACCGCACTTTGGAGCTTCGTTTCCGGTAAATCTTTGTCGATCAAGGCGTCGATGTCTTCAAGAACACCGCAATCAGCTCGAGGAAACTCCATGATTTTCGAACACAATGAGTCTATAAGTTGAGACCCATCCATGTTACTAAAATATTCACGTCGACCGAGTCCGCTCATAACCCAAGGCTTTGTATTGAAAAACGGCTTCAAAAATTCAATCAAGATTTCATCGATGATATTGAACAATAATTTTCTGTTGCATCGAAGGCTCAGTTGACTGGCACTGGTTTTTTTATTGCAGACGGTGAAATGTTCGAGGTAGTAAAAAATGGAAGGATTAAGAGGATGGGAAGGAGAGAACCAAGAAGCTAAGTACAATGGGGTATCTTCTTCTAGCCCTGTTCGTCTTAATATTCTAGCGATGTACTCATGATATTCTGCTGCTTCTTCACCGATTGTGGTGGCGCTTGTAGCAGTAGCAGTAGTAGTATCGTCGTTACATCTGTGGCCAATGTTGTCGTGTCGGGGAACGTGTACGTACGTCGCTTCTTGTTTGTTGTACGTTTGGCTCGAACAACTAGATAACTGTGAGCTACGTTTCGGTCTTCCAGCATCCAAGACCTGTAACGCATCCAAACAATAACCTCATAAAGTTTAAAAAAATCTTTTTTTTTTCCTCCAGATGAATGGTAAAAGTAATATTTGAATACCTGTTTTTGAGGGATTTTGGTGGCCGGAGGAGAAGGATCTTTTTTGACTGGAAAGATGTTGAGGAGATCATTTGACAATGGAGTTTTCTTACATTTCTTTTCGGGAATGTGAATTCTGTTGGCTGTTGAAGGACGAACGAACGGCTCCTCTTGCTTGTTTCGGATGGTGTCCGACGTTTTTCGTGTCTTTTTCACCTTCTTGCATTTGCTTGTGGCTCTTGGTGGTTGCTGGTGGTGGTTTTCCTGCTCATCTTGTTCCTCTTCAACCGGCTGCAACTTGGGCTGAGGCTGAATAGTGATCTCTGGAGCTGTTGCTGGTGCTGCTACTGATGGTTTTGGTGGTTGAATATTGTGATCTTTGGTTTTGGTTTCCAAAAATAGTAGCCTGGGCGAACACGAAGGTGTAGTCGAGTGCTTCCCGGTGCTTGAATCTTCAGCTAGTTTGTTCAAAGCCCTGGAAATCTTCTTGTACTTGAATTGGCTAACAAGCTCTTCTCTAGCTTGCTCTCTGTTCCGAACCGTGTTGGTAATGTCCATTCCGACTTTCCTGCTCCCACTTTCTTTAACCTGCTTCGCTATCTGCCTGGCGTACTGACCCGGGCTCTTGTTCTCGTCTTCGTGCTTATGCTCTTTCCTCTTCAGTGCTCTGAGACGAGAGATCATCGACTCCTCGGTTGCAGTCATGTTCTCCTTGTTGATCTGAAGCGAAAGCCGATGGTGAAGATCAACGTCCGACCTCCTCGAAGAAGATGAAATCCTCGGAGTTTCCGGCAACGAACGAGTGCCCCGAATATCACCATCCAATGACCTTCGATGTCTACTTATTGGCTTCAAATGTGATGAAAAAGATGGTGAATGGGTTTCCGGGAGAATGTCAAGACCCATAAGCCTAGCAACCAAAGTGGGTGTCCTGGTCCCTGGAGAGCTACTCATCTCTGAATATGTGTCTTTTGACCTTATGTCTCCACTTGTTTTAATTTGAATTCCCATCTGGATTTTCACACACATATATGTAAACATTATCATTATCATCATGATTACTCACGATTCAAAAAACTACCATCTTGAAAATCAAAACAAGGGATAGGAACCCGAAAAGATGAAATCAAATAAACATTCTTACAGGGTTATTTAAATTTTCTTCTTCTTTACTGGTTGATGTCAAAGAAGCCGAGACTGAAGCTGAAGTTGAACTTTCCCCCTCTGATTCCAAACTATTCCTTAGGGCCTCTGTACCTGTTTTGTAGTGGAACATTTTGAATACTGATCAGCCAAAAAACGAAAAAGAAAAAGAGAGAGAGAGAGAGAGAGAGAGAGAAGGAACGAGTGAAAGATCGAACCTTTGAGGGTGGTGGGGACGAAGGTACTATGGGGAGAGAGAAAAGATTGATTGGGCTTGAAACAACCGCAGCCGCTGCTGCTACTACTCGGAGTTGAAGTATTAGTTTGGTTTAAAGGAAACTGGAAATGATGAAAATGGAAGAAGTGAAAGACAGAACTTATGCAACCAGTGGGAGTGGTATCAGCTGCTGCTGCACTCTTGGAGCTGGTGGTGGCGGTGGATGTTTTAGCAGCTCCGCTTCCCCGATACCAATCCCTTCCCATCTCCGATTAAAGAAAGAAGGAAGATGGGGGGGTTCAATGAAAATAGAAGACAAAGGAAAGAGATGGGGAAGGGTGTAATGAGTGTGTAGTTTGAAGGGAAAAAAGCTGGTGTAAAGTTTTATATATATATGAAGCTGGTGAAGCAGCGAGAAAAGCGGATCCATCGAGCATAATAAAACGGTTACTTTTTCATTTCAATATTTTATTTACTTTTAATTCAATATAAAAATTAAATGGCTCCCTCACCCATTTAGAACAGTGGTAAAAAAAAATTTATTACACTCATCATTTTAATTTTTGAAACCTCAATTTTCTCATGAAACCTCAATTTTCTCATGTGGAAGACGTATGGAATTTTGTAGAATAAGAAAAAAAATCGTAATAGTGAAGACATACAGTAATCTTAGAGTCTTCTAAAATTACTATAACAAACACTTTAGTCTGGGAAATAATAGGTGAAATGGATTATTTGGAGAATTTTTTTTAAACATAATATTAGAGGGCAAATTTTATCAGATAATGATGTGAAAAAAAATTCTGTGATATAATGTTGTTAGAGAATTATTTGCTGAGATAAGATGTTTACTACAACTACAGGTCGTCAAACCGTCCATGCGTGAGGTCGCCATGTGATCCCTGTAGGTCGCCATGCAAGCACCACGACCTGCAGGTTTGGCGGCAATTGATCTTACACAAAAACAAGTTTTGGATCGGACAAACAAACTTTGTAAGAAGACATCTATAAGCATTTGTTGGCTCGAGCCTTATTCTTCTTCTTCTTTATATATATATATATTAAAACCAACCCTTAAATTCTTCTTCTTCTTCTTTAGATATATATATATATATTAAAACCAACCCTTAAAAGAAGACAAGTTCTCCAACTTTAATGTGGTTGTCTCCTGAACTTGTTTTTGTGTAAGATCAATTGCCGCCAAACCTCCGGGTCGTGGTGCTTATATGGCGACCTACAGTTGGATGGGATCACATGGCGACCTCAGCACAGGTCGCGAGGACTGCTTGGCGACCTCCGTTTGAACTAGCAAACACCTTATCTCAAAAAAAAATTCTCCAACAACATTATTTCACGATTTTTTCTCACACCATTATCTAATAAATTTTGCCAATATTAGAGCCATTTTCCAAAATTAAATATTTTAAATGATGAATAGATTGTCTAATAGAATAAGTCTAGAATCTTTAAGTAAATAAAAAATTTGAATCTTAAAATTTATTATTAGAATAATCTGAATTAGAAGAGTCACTTTATATTGGACCTCTACAATACTCGAATCAAATTAATTAATTAGTAAATGTAATAACGATAGTTATAACAAAATAATCATTTAAATTATATTTGTTAACTTAATTGCTTAAAGTTACTTTTATTTATTCCAATAATACTTTAAAATTGAATAATTAACTTCTAAAAACATACTTTACTCAATAAATACTATATAACAAGGTTTTTTAAAAATAAATTTATAATCATTAATTTTATAAATCCTCTAAAAATTTCTAAATTTTTAAAAATCCTAAAACCTCTACATTCCTCTCTGATTCTCTCAAACTTCATCTACTGTCGTCGAACCAACTACTTCTGTTCATTCAATCTAATTAAAAAAAACAATTCAAACATTCATTATTACATTTAACTATATATATATATATATATATATATATATATATATATATTAGGAATGAGTCTGACTGAGCCTTGAGTAGAGTGAGAGGAGGATATAAAAATGGTGCAAAGGTGATAAGATGACACGCATTGCTTTCTTTTTCTCCCTCACAATTTCGACATAAAACAAAAGAGCTCTCACTCTCAAGCTCGATTTACAATGTGATTCCCTCCCCCACATTGGCCTTTGTATTTTGAATATCAGGTGTTTTATTTTATTATTGTCTGACATACCCATGCCCAGGAGTTATGGTAATTACTATGACGTTTTTGGGTTTCATCCCTTTCCAATTTCCATTTTTATCCTCCCTGCATCGCTGTCCACATGCCAAACACATAAGTTCCGACTTAAATATTGTCCAAATTATCTTTGATCGAAATTTAATCCGACATTTCATTTATTTAACGTTTAAATATGTTTGATTTCAAATCTTTATGTTTGGCATTAATCGAATTAAATTCAATCGAAGAACATAGAGAGTGCAGCTGGAACTTACAGATAAAGGTGCAGCTTCTAATGGAATATAAGAAATTCTCAATGGTAGCAACGGAGAGACACTGTCAACAGGTAAACATAAATGGCATATGTAGATTTCCGTTTTAGTCCGAGTATACCAAAAATATTATTATATTATAAATATTAATTTATTATTATTATTATTATTATTATTATTATTATATTAATACAAGTGTACATATTTTGTAGGCTTAATTCGAAGCCCAATTACAACCCAGTACAGCAGCCCACCATACCAGCTAACCCAATTACAAGACCCGGAGTACAGACCAAACCCGCCCGAAATCCGACCCGATCCAAGCCCATCACCCAAACCCACTAGGGTTTCATCAATTTCTACCCAGCGCCGCATCAATCTCAACCCTTGAATCTGGACCCATCCAACGATCTAGATCGCTCTAGGGATTAGGGATTGAAATCCTAAGTGAGCCGTCGCTGCCTCTTGGTCTTCCAGCTCCCAGCATGCGTGAGCCAGCCACCGAGCCGCCGAACGTTTCACCTGATGTTGTCACCAACAGTGATAGAAAACCCATCACCAAATCAGTCAGCAAAAACCCAGTTAAAAAATATGAAGAAAATCAAATCAAATCGGAGATCAGAGATTTTCTCACTTACCCAAGCTTAGGGAAATGATTCCCTATCAAAAAGCTTTGTCAACTCCATTCACCGAGAACAGATGTAACATAAAAACACAGAGAGAAAGGGGGATTGGGGTAAGCATTCGGGTTTGTAAAGGAAAACAAATCAGAGAGAAATTGAGGGAAGAAACAGAAGAAAAAAAGAAAATTCAGAAAGAAAAGAAAGAAAAATGAAACCAAGACTAAACCCAAACTTACCATTGGATCTGCCCGACAACAACCTCATCGGAACTAGGAGGCCCCAACCTTAAAGGTAAAGCCTTTTCCTTTTCTGGGGGGTCGGTTAGGGTTTAGAATATGAATGGTTTTTAGGGTGTTCCGTAGGTTGGGGGTGTTTTCGAAGAAAGGAAAAAGGAAAAAGATAAAAGAGAGGAGTTTTTCTGGGTGTGTTACTCCCCGTTGCCACCGATCTATGGTTGCTGGGGAGTTGGGGCTTCTGTCTTAGGCGGAGGAAGGAGAAAGAAGGGCTGAGGAGAGAGAGGGGTTTGAGAGCCTTTTGGCTCTATGTTTTTAGAGAGAATGAGGAATATAAAGAAGTGAGAAATCTCATCGACCTAAGGCCTTTCAGTTGGCCTTATGTACAAGGTCCCAAACAGTGCCGTTTTGGTAGGGATATGGGGTGTAATTTTGGGGCTTGGTTAAATTATGTATGGGGGTCTCCATGTTTTGTAAACTTTGTTTATGGGCACTTGTGTTATTTTATTTATGTTGTATTTCAAGCCCTACCTTTGTAAAGCTTACATTTGGGTCACTTGGCTGGCTGATGTTTATATTTTGTAAGTTTATACATTGTACTCTGCATTTGTGAAACTTTTATTTTGATCACTACTATTGTATTTTGGTTTAAATATTGATTAAGGTCTGTTTATTTTACTTTCATTATATTTTAGTCGTTATTTTTAGTTATGGGTTTATTTCATTTCCAGTGCATGTATTATTTAACATTTGTGATTGGGTTCTTCTTTAGTTGTAATTATTTTTTAGCCTTTCAAGTTTCTGTTATTTTCATTTTGGTACCTAATATTATTTTTGGGTGATTTGCATTTTTAGTACATATTGTTTAATATTTTGTTATTGGCTCTGGATTATTTTTATTTGTTGTTCAATCTTTTATGTTTCTGTTATTTTTATTTTGGTCCCTTAAAATCAAATGTGATTATTTATTTTTTTGTTTAGATCTGTAATATTTTATTTTATTTCGTTTTAGTCTTGCATGTATGTGTATTTTGTTTATTATGACTCTCAGTATTATTTAACATACATTATTAATTTTATGTGTTGTAAATATTTATTTTATAAATTTCAAATTATATTTGTTTTCATTGTTTTCTTTATATATTGATTCGTTTCGAATAATTTCAAGAACACGTATTTGTAGAACGGACATGGAAAGTAACGCTTGATCGAAGTGGTACAATCCTATACGACGTTCGAACAAAATGAGACTTGAAATAAATCTATTATATTTTATTAATTAAATATTTTATTTGAATGATTCAATGTGTTTTTATTGATTTATTTTATTTTATGCAAATGTCAATATTCGATTCTATTTTGATATGCGTTATTCGAAAATAGAATATTATTTTATGGATAAGTAATAGTCGAAATAGCTTTCCCAATGAAGGATTGTTAATTTCAAGATTTCTTTTCGAGTTAAAGAATTTTCCTTAACAATAATTAATTCGAAGTAAATTAATCAATGTTCAATAAATAGAACATATTTTAACTTTATATTCGATTCACAAATTCCACCATTACGACAACGTATAAGTGACACAATACCAATTTTGGACGCTGTGGGGGTGCTAATCCTTCCCCACATGTAATCGACTCCCGAACCCGTTTTAATTGAATCTTTGTAAACGCATACCAGGTTTTTGTCTGGAAAAACGATTTTTCTTAAAATTATTTTAAAAGATGTTTTTAGGTATTTGACTTATCTAACTCAAAGTTCGATGGAGACTCCTTTTCCATTTAATTCCAATTAATCTAAAATCACCCAATTTTCCAAATCAAAGTCATAATCGTTTTTTAAAAATAATATTTAATTGTATTTTTCAAAAAAATGATTGTGACAGCTTGATGATTCCGCTGGGGACTTTTTTTAGAGAGTCAGGCTGTAAGTCGCTTACACATTATCGTTTGGTGGAAATTATGAGTTCGAGTCTTTAGTTAAC